AAGGCATCCTGGTATGCCACGTAGCAGCACTGGTGTGAAAAGAAGAGAAATAGTCCACACAACTTCACTGGGTGTGTAAGCCGAGACTGACTTGATAGCCTCCTCAGAATTAAAATTTCTAAGGGGCGGGCTGGGGTACAGACGGTTGGAGCTAATGTCAGAGAAAAGGGGCAACAGATTCGCCCCAACTATAAGGGCTCATCGTGGAGTAGAACGCCCAGGTTTTAATAAAATATTTGAAAATTCTGCATATATTGGTATGAGAGGACATTAATATTGGGGGCAACAGATTTTAGGTACTGATAGTTAAGCCACCTTTTAATAATAACCTCACACTATTATGAAAGGGAGAAATTTTTTTGTGTGTGGTAGTGGTGGTGGTTGTAAGCATCTCACAACTGAGAGTGCCTTAGGCCTCTGAGATGGAGAGCTAGGGACAGTCAGGAGCAGATCTGCGGAGGGAGGCTTCACATCCTGCCTCCATCACTTGCTAATTATGTGACCCTGGCCAAGTGCCTTGGCCTGCCCCAGCCTCACTTTGTTCATCTGTAAAATGGGCCTAATAATACCCCCTCACTGGGCATTTAGTTCAGTGCCTAATACATATTCAGTACCTAACAAACGGTAGCAATATCATTAATAAACAAATGTGCGCAGCTGAGCAGTTTACACACCAAGCACATGGAGGGTTGTAGGACATTCATAGATGTAGCTTCTCACTGCACCAGGAACCCAACTCGGGATGCTTACGGTGTGTGTTTTACAAGATTCTCCTGTTCTATAGACCCGGAAAAACAGTGCTACATTACTAGCTAGTCTCTCTTGGTTCCTGTGTATATAGACCATGTTGTTTGATTAAATAGAAGTTAAATTCAGAACGTTTCCTTGAAAACACTTTCTGATTACATCATATTGGACTGATTCAAAGAAAGTGAGGTGCAGATGCTTGTTACACATGTACGAATTATCTGCTAAAAACAGTGGTTCCTCTTGGATGTATTAAGGGCAAAATTTACTTGTAAAATTTAGATTCCTTTAAAGCTTAAACAGTCATATCTTTGATTATAGACTATCATTGCCTAGTAGGTTAAAGGATCTCTCGTACGTATAGAGGAAACATCCATGACATGTATTTGATTCTACTATGTACAGCCACACCAGAGACCCCACCTCCTGCAAACGGCTCACTGTGGGCTCACAACTGAAGCCAGAAAAGAACCAAACTGACTCTGATTTATTTTAATATTAAAATTTCACAGTACTTTTGAGCCATTTTATAAATTAATTTCAAAATGGATGAGGCAGTAACATCGAGGTTTAGCTAATTATGTTTAAATTAAATATAAGCATTTAAAATAACCATTTTAATTAAATACAAGACTCCGGCAACTAATCATTAAAAGTAGAATTGGTAACTTGAGATTTATCATTGTGAAATCACTTGTATCACTTTTCTAATGAGTTCTTTCCTCTGTAAATGAAAGACTAAATGTATCCCTCTGAACTAGTACGTAGTAAAAGGTCAGGGTTGTCAACTTGATATTGAATCAGTGCAAAAATATCTGCTTTACTGCAGTCTCCTAGATACAAAACTGCAGTCACTATTTGCTAAATCATGTTCAATGTGACTTACATTTTAGTTCCTTAAACATCTTAGAATCGTTCTAATAATAACGGAGTATTTATTACTGCAAAGAAAATGGACATATTTTGTAAAACAAAAAAATACATACTTTTTATACAGGAGTCTCTGAGGAAGAAAACTTAAATAACTTTGTGATTTAATTTTTAAATTAAAATAATTTATTACAATTTTGAGAATAATGAGGAATAAATTTTGAATAGCTTCATTTTATAAATTGTAGATATTATACTTCAAACTTTATATTTGTAAGAATATACAAATATATTGATATACTCATTTTGTATATGTTTAAAAACTGACCAGTTCTTATACTGTAATGTTACCATTTAACATAAACCCTGACACATGGCAGTTGCTTAATAAATCTTTGTAAATTAAATAAACAAACATATTAACAAACATTATGAAATATCTTTTAAAAGACTGTCTACTAAAACCATTATTGCTGTATCTTACCTTCTGCTTGAACCCACTGACTCTGACTAGCTAATAAAGCTGAAGTGCTTGTGCTTACTGATTGGAGAACAGTATGTTTTCCCGTTGTCTGTCGCCTTTCTGTGCTCTGGAACTAGTACAAATGTTAAGAATCTAAAGTGAGCAGTGCCTTTCTGGGTGGAAGAGGGTGATTTAAAGGCAAGTTTGCTTGTTTTGTTCCTTGTGTTAAACACCTGCAATTACGTTTTTCTTCTGTTGTGAAACTGAACTAATTGAAGGTACTGTCCTTAGGGGATGAATTCTACAGTATAATAAATGTTGAGTGCCCTCTTGAGTTTAGCATTTTAATTATTCATAATTATAATGATTTCTGTTTATTTGAGAACTTTAGGAATAATTCTAGTTTATGAAACAAATTCAGAAGCAGAGTAGATGAGGCTTTGTTTTATTTTTATGTTGAGGTCAGCAGGGCTATGAATGTGCCAGAAATTCTCACAAGCAATGGAGCCAGTTTTCTGGCTAACAGGTGGGCACTACTGATGTGCGCCATGTCCTGAAATAACTGGATGCTCTTTTTTCTATTCATTCTCTGATTTCTCTAGAAGTATTTGGGCAATGCAATGTTGGGATTGTGAGGGGAAGAGCTGACAAGGATTCAAGTGGAAGAACTGGAAATAATGGAATACAGTGTGACTCAGAGAAGAGACACAATAGATTTCATAGCTGGCTATCAACCAAGTATATACATTTTTAAGGTCTTTTCTTGAAAGAGGTTTTCGTGTGTGTGTGTGTGTATTTGCTCTGCACCCTAAACATATTTGCATACAATGCACCCACGTAAAATATGGATGTTCAAAATGGATAGTCTGGCTATTTTAGTACTAGAATAATTTTTATGTCTACTATATTCAAATATATACTAGTGACAATGATATATTTGGACTGGGCTCCTACACTCTATTTAGATGTCATATACATTCTTAATAATAGCCTGAAACAATGAAATCCTACTTTAAAAAAAAAAGCTTGGCATTACAAATTTGTTTCATTGCGATCTGTTTTACTTTTCCCACCTCTTTCTCTTTTTTTCTATCCCTCTAATCCAACACTTTAGTTTTAGAGCCAGATTCTCTGCAGCTAGAGAATTACTCAGGTCTCCTGGTAATCTATTCAATTTAGGAAGCAGCAGCAACTTTTTAATACATTCAAGTAGCAGCAAAGGTAAGAATGATTGGTATGGATGATAGCATATGGCAATTTGAGCATTTTTGAGGACAGCACATTTAACCACTCTCACCTAAAAACCTCCGCAGAACCAAGGTTCTGCTGCAAGAACATTATCTGAAAGTAGATTGGAGTAGGCCCCAATTTAAAGTCCATCTCTGATGAAAGGGAATTAACAACTACATAATCCAGGGTTAGGCTCAAATGCGAGCTCTGCTCTTCATCAGCAAGTTGTTTCATAAAGAGACTGGAAGTGCCATTTTAAAAAAAGAAATGTTCTGATTGCCCACAATCTGTTTCTCCTTCCCAAAACAAATGTTTAACCACAGCTACTAAGGAGAAGAAGGGGGAGGGGAAGGCTAATTGGAAAAATCACCTTGTCTCTGCCTCTACCCCCAGGTGCGGACAAGCAGGAAACAAGCCCAAAAGGCAGGCTGTGGGCGAGGAGAGGCCATGGCATATCCACCAACCAGATAATCGTCGCTGGAATACTGGGGAGGTGTCTGAATGTAGGTATGTGCATTGAAGACTTCTGTGTGCGTTTGCATATAACACACCTGCCACCCCATCAGTCCCTTGAAAGCACTACTTGGCGTCCCTGACACACGTGCGCACGTGCACCGGGCCACTCAGAGCCGGTGGCCCTCCAGCAGGAAGTCCTCCTTATTCTCTTGGACTTTTAAAACATCCTCCAAAGTGACTTGAAACTGCCTCCTGCTCTCGAGTCGCAGTGTTCCCGAATGGAAACCTTCCTCCCTCCGCTCACCCAGCACAGAAAGCCTTTGTGCTCCCCGGCCCTCTGAAATAACTCCCAATTCCTCTCTGCTGGGTTTAGTTCTGGTTTCCCACCAAGACCTAAGCCAAGTTCCACCTACACTTGCTGCTGTCTACATCCCCAATATTTGCTTTTTCCCAAGCTTCTGCAGAACATGTNTCTGGCTATTTTAGTACTAGAATAATTTTTATGTCTACTATATTCAAATATATACTAGTGACAATGATATATTTGGACTGGGCTCCTACACTCTATTTAGATGTCATATACATTCTTAATAATAGCCTGAAACAATGAAATCCTACTTTAAAAAAAAAAGCTTGGCATTACAAATTTGTTTCATTGCGATCTGTTTTACTTTTCCCACCTCTTTCTCTTTTTTTCTATCCCTCTAATCCAACACTTTAGTTTTAGAGCCAGATTCTCTGCAGCTAGAGAATTACTCAGGTCTCCTGGTAATCTATTCAATTTAGGAAGCAGCAGCAACTTTTTAATACATTCAAGTAGCAGCAAAGGTAAGAATGATTGGTATGGATGATAGCATATGGCAATTTGAGCATTTTTGAGGACAGCACATTTAACCACTCTCACCTAAAAACCTCCGCAGAACCAAGGTTCTGCTGCAAGAACATTATCTGAAAGTAGATTGGAGTAGGCCCCAATTTAAAGTCCATCTCTGATGAAAGGGAATTAACAACTACATAATCCAGGGTTAGGCTCAAATGCGAGCTCTGCTCTTCATCAGCAAGTTGTTTCATAAAGAGACTGGAAGTGCCATTTTAAAAAAAGAAATGTTCTGATTGCCCACAATCTGTTTCTCCTTCCCAAAACAAATGTTTAACCACAGCTACTAAGGAGAAGAAGGGGGAGGGGAAGGCTAATTGGAAAAATCACCTTGTCTCTGCCTCTACCCCCAGGTGCGGACAAGCAGGAAACAAGCCCAAAAGGCAGGCTGTGGGCGAGGAGAGGCCATGGCATATCCACCAACCAGATAATCGTCGCTGGAATACTGGGGAGGTGTCTGAATGTAGGTATGTGCATTGAAGACTTCTGTGTGCGTTTGCATATAACACACCTGCCACCCCATCAGTCCCTTGAAAGCACTACTTGGCGTCCCTGACACACGTGCGCACGTGCACCGGGCCACTCAGAGCCGGTGGCCCTCCAGCAGGAAGTCCTCCTTATTCTCTTGGACTTTTAAAACATCCTCCAAAGTGACTTGAAACTGCCTCCTGCTCTCGAGTCGCAGTGTTCCCGAATGGAAACCTTCCTCCCTCCGCTCACCCAGCACAGAAAGCCTTTGTGCTCCCCGGCCCTCTGAAATAACTCCCAATTCCTCTCTGCTGGGTTTAGTTCTGGTTTCCCACCAAGACCTAAGCCAAGTTCCACCTACACTTGCTGCTGTCTACATCCCCAATATTTGCTTTTTCCCAAACTTCTGCAGAACATGTAGTTACGCCCTTTCTCTGGCATTGGACCACCTGATCCATGTACTGCTTTTTCTCTCTTTATGCGTATGTCCTGTGTCCTCAGTGTAACTGTTTATTTCTGGAAAGGCAGGACCTGCCACATGTTTGTATACCAGATTCCAGGGCAGGGAGATGGGCGTGTAATGAGCTGCGGTGGTGAAGGGAGGTGACAAAGGACAGAGGTAAAGAACACAGGCCCTGGAGCCCCGCTACCTGAGTTTGAGTGCCCACTCAGCCAATACTAGCTGGGTGCTCCTGGCAAGTTTTTTTGTCGCTTTTTAAAAGAAACTTTCTGTGCCTTAATTTTCACATCTCTAAAATAGGAATAGTAACTCTATCCATCCCCTTGAGTTGTAAAGTTTAAATGAGCCAATAAATTTTAAAAGGCTTAGAATAGTCTAATACATATAAAACACTCAAAAGTCATAACCCAGTTACTGCTGTATCCGAAGTAATATTCCATCTCAATTTTCTCAATAATGCTATCAAATACCATTATCACCATTCTAAAAACAGGAACCCTGTGGCCCTGAGAGGTGATGAATATTACTGGCAAGAGAATAAAACATATTCAATTAACAGAAAAGAGTAAACTACAAAATTTATAATTTTTTTTAAATCATTTTATTCTCCTTGAAATTATTTTGGAGAAGTTACCAAAAAGCTCTGTTAAACTTGGCAGGCTAGCCTTCTTGGAATCTCTTCATCTTCTAGGAAACCATCAAGCCTTGTTCTTGTCGCTGCCAAAATCCCTTGGCTGCCGCCGCTTCATTGGTGCATCTGTAGCACTTAGCGCTGCGCTGGGATGTAGTAGATGATTGATAAATCCTTGGTTAAATTAAATGTTGTCACCCTGCTGATACAGTAAGTGTACTTTTCCGGCCTGGCCCACCACTGAATGACAGGGTAGCTTTAGAAATCCTATGTAGACTCAAGAAACTACTTCTAGGTAAAGTACTGCCAGGAGAGGGGCTTGGGAGAACTAACACTTTTGAATGCTTATCTTATTCTAGGTTTGGGGTGTGTTTTTGTGTGTGTTTTTTACTTTGCAAACATTATTTCATTTAATCTGCAAAATACCCTATGAAGTAGGTATTTTTACCCCCATTTACCAACAAAAAAAGCTAAAATTCAAATAGTTTGACCAACATATTTTTTAAAAATCACACAACTAGTGGGAAAGAATTTCCAATGTAAGTCCAATCCAAGGACCAAGAAATGATGAAGCAGTAATGGGGTAAAGTGAGGCTCACGTTCAGAGCCATGAGGCAGGTCCCCTTGACACTAGCTTCAGGTGACTCATGCACACGGTATAACCTCCTTGTCTCACATGATGTTATTATGAGTATGGAAATATTTCATTTGTAAATGGCTTTGAAATTATCACTGATGCTATAGACATAAACTATAATTATGGGTCTGGTAAATATGGACACTGAAACAGTTACAGAGTCCCCCACAGGTTTGAATTCCCTAGCAGGTGATGGGAGGAAAATGGAAGCGATGAAAAGAAGTGAAAACCAAAGACAAAGAGACGCCATGCCTGTGGAGGAATTCTAGAAAAGTGCTGATCCAAGGCTGTTCAGTTATCAGTTACCCTTATAATATATTACATTATGTTTTAACATGTAGCTATAATGGTCACAATCACTAAATCAAGGACTGGATATATAGGGCAATACAGTAGAAATCAGGACTGTTGCATATGGAGCTATATATCTTGCATAAGGGATGGTTGTGTGGCAAGCTACTCATTTGAAGGATTAAGAGTAATATTATCCTAAAACATTTGGTTCTAAAACTACATGTGTACCTCCCAGAGTACCTGAAACCCCTACGCGCCTCAGTGGGATCCAGGCTGCTGCTGCTTGAAACAAGCTCTTCAAAAGTTTTTCAGAGAAATTAATGGCACTTTAGTTGTTGCTGGTGTCTTGTTTTGACCTTGTACATGTTGATGGGAAGTAGACGTATTTGATGAGTTAATAAACTATGGCACACATTTAGTTAAAAACTAACTAAGCACGTGTTTCACTTACTATGATAGTAAAATGGCTCAGTGTTATAAAACTGTAAGGTGTTTTCCATTTCTCAGCATTTAGTTGCATTTCTACTGAGTTTAGATAATAATTAATCTCAGCATATGACCTTATGCATGTATTTAGGTTTATGAAAGTTATTTAATCTAAGAATATACCTATATTCTTTTCTTTTCCTTTGTATACTTGGTAAGTTTTAGAAACTAATTTTTCTAGATTTTTTTAAATTGTATTTTAGCTTGACTGAGAACAGACTTCCGTATTCAAGAAGTCACAGGGAAATTAAGGAACTGCTTTCATAAGTGTCTTTTGTCAAAGCTTGCCTAGGGAGGCCTCTACTTCCAAAGTCTACTGCTGAGATGGAGAATCTATGATCGATTGCTCAATTGCACCTGACCAATTTTAACTGTCACGTATTTTGAAAGATATAGACTATGACAATAACACATTTAACCTATTCTAATAGCCTCTTTAATATTTGAAGCTCATCATTATTGTTAATTATTAAGTACCTCGATGGTAGAATGGGTTATAAGGAAAATGATTGGTGTGATACAGCAACAAATGGCTAATTTAAGAAATACTTTTAAAGTGTATTCCTAAGCTATTAGGGTATCTTATAAACTTTTTTTTTTTTTTAAATATATCTTTATTGATTTCAGAGAGAGGAAAGGAGAGGGAGAGAGAGAGACAGAAACATCAATGATGAGAGAGTCATTGATCAGCCGCCTCCTGCTGGCCCCCAAATGGGGATGGAGCCCGCAACCCGGTCATGTGCCCTGACCGGGAATCGAACCCTGATCGCCTGGATCCTAGGTCGATGCTCAACCACTGAGCCACGCCCGGCCGGGCAAAACTTTAAGTCACTATGCAAATATTTATAAGACTAATTTTATAATAACAAATTATGTTTTTCTGCAAAGTAGTGAAATATAACAGAAAAATTTTACTACTTCTATTACTTAAAAAGTATTTGTGAACATGGGTTCTTCAATATGTAGCAGGATGATACCTGTCTGGGAGAAGACTCGTAAGAATTAGAATGTCTGCTATTCATAGAGTTCCTGCTCTATGCTAGACCCTTTAAAATAGATCATTGTTATTCCTCAGAGTGTCCCTGCACAGAGATTTTGTTTTCCTCATATGTCCTTCTGTACAATTAGGGCTCAGATAGGTTAAAAAATATTTCAGTAAACCAGTAAAATGGTAGTGGCACAATTCAAGCCCACATCTTGGAGACTCCTAGGCTCTGTTTTTGACCATCAGGGAAGCCAGTTGCCTCCATAAAGGATGGGTGGTAAAAAGTGAAATAAAAAAAAAAATTTAAATCCCCAAACAAAAACAATAGTAATAGCTACAATTTATTAATGTGCCATGTACTGGGCTAGTTATCCTAAGGACTTTAAATTCTTTATCCTAATATACAGCTCAGAAGAGGTTTCTTCACCTCAGGTTTTTCAAATGGATTGAATATTAATATTCCCGTTTGCCCTGTGAGAAAGCTAAGGTTCAAAGGCATTGAATTGCTGACATAGATGGCACAGCTGATAAGTAGCAGAACTGAGTTTCTACCTCAGGTCTTGTCAAGTTCCAAAGTCCATGTCCTTTCTAAGAATATTAAAATCTAAAATATATGTCTGATTTATAAAATAAAGACTCTGGACTGCTGCATACTTATCTTTTCTCTGAATTTACTCTTAAAATGATTTCAGTTTTCTGTAGAAATTATCGAACTTTCTGTTAGTAAGGAACTTTCAGAAAATTAGAACTAATTCAATGAATGTGCACCAGTTTGTGCTTAATCTAATAGTGCTCGAGTTTACAACGAAGTCAGATTTTAACATTATAACTCTCATGCGCTCAGCTTATACTTTATGATCTAGAATTTTACTAAGAACTTAAAAGTTGAAACAGATTTATAAAACCCCGGAAAACCGCCTCACATACATAAATTGTTGTTCTGAATACCGCAAGTTACAAACACAACTGAATAGCTTTCATCCTAATCTCACAAGGAGCCTGGAGCGGCGTTTTGCATTCATTCATTAAACAAGCGTCCCTGATTGCCAGCTATTTTCATAACTGAGCTAGGGAGATTGGCAGAGAGTAAGAAAGCAACCCCGACCTCAAACAGCTTTGTAAATTAATTAGGGGGGAAAGACATGCAAACCATTAAGCAACAAAAAGTGAAGTAACATTGCGACAGTGAAATAAATCGTGTTTAATGAAAATTTTTTTAAAAGCCTGCTTACAGTTTCGTGGCTGGAGGTGCTGACTGTGGGTTAAAGTAGTGAAAGAAGCCTCGCAGCAAAAGGCCACTGACTGGGCGGAGAGGACGGGCTGCCCCGTGGAGGCGGCGGGCAGCAGGTGCATTTGTTACCGGGAGGGCTTGTGCGGGGAGCTGGGAAAGACAAGACTGGGAAAGGAGGTGAGGCCAGGGGGCCGAAGGCTCTGATTCCAGCTGAAGACTGGCCTTTGGCCTCCAGGTGATGGGGAGGCATTGAAAAATTTTGAGCAGGGGAATGA